TTTTACTTTTTCGCCAATTGAAAAATTTAGATGTGACCAGTCACTAGAAAAATTTGAGTTAGAAATCTTTTACAGTGCACCTATATTGACCCATGTGTGAGATATTTTGTGCTGATTTCAGCTGCATATTGCCGAGTTATTTTAAAATTAAGTTGAAAAAACTAAGTTCTCCCAACTAGTGCTGGGCAACGATTAATCGCGATTAATCGCATCCAAAATACAAGTTTGTGTTTACATAATATATGTGCGTGTATTGTGTATAATTATTTTGTATAAATACACACACATGCATGGATATATTTAAGAAATATGTGCACGTATAAATTGTATGTACGTATATTCATACAAAATGTATATTATTTATAAATATTAATATTTTATATCTAAATAACACATTTTATTTATACATGCATGCGTGTCTATTTATATATTCAAAATAATTATATGCAGTACACACATATGTATTATGTATTATTTTTTGTATTTTGGATGTATTTTTTGTACTTGTTTGTATTTTGGATTCGATTAATCGTTGCCCAGCGCTACTTCCAAAAAAAAAAAAAAAATACAAAAAAAAAATGAAATGACAAGCTTTCTGGACAATATATATATAATTTTAGGGCTTCATGTCTTTTTGACCTGCAAGGTAAGAATTTGTTACAGAATGGAAAGAGGATCAGCAACAAAATGTGACATGAACTGTCTCATAAATGTTGTTTCTTATACTCAAATATTGTTAAAAAAGTGAATTGTTCAGGCTAGACCGCCCAACGCGCATGTGCAGTCATAAGCGCAAGTTATAGGCTGAATTCGAAATGGCCCCCCCTATGCCCTCAAATAGGCCGTTATTTGAGGGGACAGACATTTGTAGTGGTGTCCAGAACGATAACGTAGGGAATAGTGAATGAGGGTTTAGGGGGGATTTCGGATTCATCCTCAGTTTCTAATGGCAGCTGCAGTGACACAATGACTTTGCCAGTCAGCAATTGCCACTTTTACTTAGAAGGCGAGACATATTCTGCCATATTGGACGTTGCTGTTTCTCCCATTAATAAGTAATGTGAGTGCATGGTCTTTCTATATCTATTGTCTTTGAGTGCACAATAATATGCTATATTTGCATTAATAACAATGACATTGCACATTTGAAGTCAACATGAAACTGCATTTGCAATCCATTTTACTTCTGCAGTTTGTTTTATTAACATGTTAATTGATTGAATCATGGTTGGAGGGGAGGGTTACAAATAAAAAGAGGGCTTGCAAATTTTCAGTTTCAGGTTATCAATTCCATTGTGGCCAATGAGTCAGTCATGATTAATTTAGTCCATGAGCTAATTGTCAAATAATAGGATAAAATTTTGGTACATGAACAACTATATTATTTTATTAGGCTACTGATGTGAGTCTTCATCAAATAACTTTACACGACATAACTTTATGTAATACATACTTATCAAAAGTATATTCAGACTGTATATTCAGATTTCTACCTATATACATTTATTTATTCAGGAAAATATATTCGGATTTGTATTTATTCAGGGATATATATATATATATATATATATATATGAAGAGTTCAGATGCAAAAGCCTCTAAGTGCCATTTGAAATTTTCTTCTAGAATGATCATTTTTATCAAGCTTGTATATTTAAGTTCAGTGATTTCACTTAAATGGCAATGATAATTACCTATTAATTGTTATTTAAGTGAAATTACTGAACTTACATATACAAGTTTGATAAAAATCATCATTAAAGAAGAAAATTTCAAATGGCATTTAGAGGCTTTTGCATCTGAACTCTTCATATATATATATATATATACATACTTTATATATTATACATATTTTATATTGTGTGTCACCAGAAGTCACAGGTGAAGTTAATTGGCATGGATGCTTTTTTCACGCTGTGTTTTGTATGTGTATAGAGTCATCAAGGCTGAGGAAGGCAAAGGCTGTGTGAAACCACTGTTAAATAGCTGAAGATCAACTGATATTAAGAGCAGCATTAAACTCACTCAGTGGCGCTCTGATTTAACCCCAGAATTGTCACCTTTACATGTAAAAGCACAGTATCACCTTGGCTCAAAAATCTCATGCACTTGACCTAAACTGAACTGCTGTTAACATAGAAGCTTTCAGAAGAAAGAAGTGGTTAAAGTAACAACTGGAAGCATATGAATTTTGCCCTAGATATGGCTGCCTGCTCACTTTAATATATTCACGCCAATAGATGATCACACGGAGCTGCTGATCTCCGCCGCCCGAGGCATGGCAAGCCTTCTTTTAAACAGATTTTTGTTAGTGCAATGGCACTGTAAATAGACAATATAAAAATATATATTTTTCCCACTATTTTGCTATTTTGCCTGCCAAAATGATGATATGCCAAGTACAAACCCCTGGGGCATTCCCCTTATCTTCCCTCATTTCAGTGCCAAAGGATTCACCTGTAAAATATGGGGAAAGAAAAGAGCAGTGATCCTAGGAGTTTTCTTCGCATAATGTTATTCCAGTCATTCCTGCAAGCATTTCAACTGAACATGTGCTGTACTTAAAACTGAAATATAAGTTTCCAGTATTTTTTTTTTGCCACTTCAACTCTGTGATTGGTTCTAAAATGTGACATTGTTGTGTTTATACACTCTCAGAAAAAAAGGTAAAAAAGCTGTCACTGGGGCTTTTCAAAAGGTACACTTTTGTACCCAAAGGCTGCATATTGGGACCTTAGTGGTACATATTAGCACCTAAAATGTACATATTAACACCTAAAATGTACATAATAACACTTAAAATTGACATATTAGCTCCTGAAATGTACATAACACTTAAAATGTACATTTTTACACCTAAATTGTACATATTAGTACCTAAAATGTACACATTAACACTTAAAATGTACATATTTGCACCTAAAATTTACATGTTAGCACCTAAAATGTACATATTAACACCTAAAATGTACATATCAGCACCTAAAATGTACATATTAGCATCTAAAATGTACATTTTAACACTTAAAATGGACATATTAGCTCCTGAAATGTACATATTAACACTTAAAATGTACATATTAACACCTAAAATGTACTTATTAGCACCTAAAATGTACATATTACCACCTAAAATGTACATATTACCACCTAAAATGGACAAAAGTTTACTTTTGAAAAGGTACAGCCCCAGTGACAGCTTTTGTACCTTATTTTCTGAGAGTGTAAATGTGTTTTATTATCATAGCGTAG